AGTAATAGCAAAAAAGAAAAGAAAAAAGGAACTGCACCTACTATACGCCAGGCACTGTTCTGAACAGCTGCTATGCTTTCTCTCACTCGGACCTCATAAAAAACTAGGGGGTAGGCACTGTGACGCTCCCTGTTTACAGATGACAAAACAGGCTGGTGTGACGTGTCCCGGCCTCAGGCTCGCGTGCAGAGCCAGGAGCTGGCCAGGCAGCCTGACGCCACGCCCCGCGGTACCCACTGCGTACACGGCCTTTCAGGACAGCCCTTCCTCTTCCCACGTTTCCTTCTCCCCGTCTGTTCCTCTCCCTCCTCTTCCCTTTGCTTCCCTCTCTCCCTTGCTGTGTCTTCAGCCCACGGACACGCCCAGAGGCCTGGCTAAGTGGCGGCATCAGAGCGAGACGTGGGCCCAGGTACAGGAAACAGCGTGAGCACGATCCCTCGTAACACAGAGTATTCTTCCTAGTACGTCTGAGGGAACGCACTCCAAGCAAGAAAGCACAGGCCACCATTTCACTAAGACCAGGAATGTGAGAAACAACCGTAACCGGCCTTCTTCAGCCCGTTTCTCTTCCTCCGCGGTACCTGCTCGTCATCTTATCCGTGTTCCTCGGGGAGACCCGTGCCCCCAACCCTCACCTCTCCATTAAGCTCCAGGCTTATGACCGTCAACTGTGCTAGACATTCCCGTCTGGACGGACCAACTTCGAGCTAAACAGCCCCAGCGCCGCCTGCAGAGGGCTCCCCAGTTCTGAATCTCCCGAACTTTCTCTTGGATCCAGTGGAGCCCACGCTGAAGGGTGGAGGGCTCTACCTCGCTTTCTGCGTCCAACCCGCCCTGCCAGCTTCACCTCCAAACCCCTCCCTTCCCTCGGCTTCCGCTGCCCCCGCGGCAGCTCAGGCCCTGTCGCCTTCACCCGGCGGGCTCCCACTCACTGCCACTGAGTGCAAACAGTGAGGTCCGTGCCCTCCCCTACTCTGCGCCTTGCTAGGGTCCCTCCTGCCCCAGGATGAAGTGCCTGTTCCTCCTCCCAGCACCCACTTGGCCTCGGGCCCCTGGTTTTCCAACCCCCTCTCCTAGTGCTCATCTCCGCGTCCTATCACTGGGGTCCTCTCAGCCTAAATTCTGCAAGCCTGCCTTGAACAAACAGACAGGGTTTGATTTTTCAGCAGCACGGAGTAACCCTGGCTCCTTGAGAGCACGTGTAACTAATAATTTCAAATTCACTATGAGAACGAAGTCTTTACACTGTTTTATTGTGGTGAGAGTTGTGTGTAAGGAAGAAATCACATTCCCTTAAGAAATGAGGAGGAAAAAGGGCTGGTTCAGGCCACCATCTTTCTGTCTCTTAATCGGGAACGGCGCTCGGCAGCCTGGCCACACAGGGAGCCACTGGGGGTCCTTGAAGTCTGAGCGCCTGGCGCACCCACGGGGGTTGGTGGGAGGGTCCGGGTGCCGGGAGCTGTGAGCTCCTGGTGGGCCCGCTGGGCAGCACCGGCCTGAGGGAGCCCAGGCGGAGGCCCGAGCGGCAGGGTGCTGCCCGGCCCGGCGAGGAGAGGGCCTGAGAGCGGGTGAGTCCGGGAGACAAATGGCACCAAGAGGGGGTAGAAACAGGGCGAGAGGACGAGAAACGAAACAAGAAGACATTCTAACCAGGGCCTCTCAGACCCGTCAGGCAGCGCAAACCCCGCCTTCTCCACGCACCTCCCCCTCCCCGCCCCCCCAGCCCAGCTGCGCTTCCTCCTTTGTGGTCTGACTGCCCTTCCTCGGGGAACACACGTGCACCCCTGTCCGCTATCGGGGCTCCTGCAGGCCCCAGAAAGCCGGCGTGCTCCTCCCTGCCGGATGCATCCTGTGTTTCCTCCTGCCCAGCCGCCGGCTAGCTCACGTGGGTCCGTGGCTCCTCTTAAGTATAACTAACGGCGAGTCATGGTTACCATGTCACCCTCCCGCAGGACCGGGCCTGGCCACGCTGACTGCAGTGCAAGGACCTCCAGGCGAGGTCAGAGCTGACTGAGTAGGTTCGAGTGTGTCCCCTGAGATGCAAACAAAGTTAAATCAGAAACCGCAGGTGGTGGCCTAACACTGGCCGGCAAGGATTGACGAATTTACCAGTGATTCCTTGCCATGTGTCTTGATCACCACTCACAGCTGCTGAGACATCCGGCAAGGTGTTGCGTGTGCCCTTACGATGCGTTTACGTTTCTAGCGAAAGGTGTCCAGTTATCATCTTTACAGGGAGTAGCCCGGAAATATACCTGCTGTAAATCCCAAAGCCTTGTGATTTCAAGTCAAAAGAAGTTACGTCTTTTAGTGGAAATACTAAGCATTTCCTGTTTGCCTGAGAAAGCCACGTCCCAGAGGACAAAATCCAAGGTCAAAATCAAAGAAATAATTTACTCTGTGCGTGTGTGCATGTGTGTGTGTGTGTGTGTGTGTGTGTGTGTGTGTGTTTACACAGATAGACAGGCTACTCCCTGAAAAACTGGGCCCAACAGTAAGAGCTGTTCAAATACTAAGTGGATCAAAAGTGGGCATCATATTTTCAAAAATTATTCTGGTATGAACTGTAATTTGTGGAAATTAGGATAGTTACAATTTTTCTGGTGGTGCTGACCCCTAAACACAAACTCCCAATGAGACCGGCACAGAATGCTGAAAACCATCTGCATCGGTAAGAGCCACAGAGAGCTCCCTCCTTATGCTCCATCCAGGGAAACATAAAGTCCATGAATTCGCAGAAAGATAACTTCTCTTCACCGATTATTTAATGTCGGATGTTTTTCCAAGGAAAAGTTTAAACTGTCACCACCACATTTTCAAACCCCCAAAGTCAACCACCACCAACTGACGGGGCGCCCAAAATTCTCACCAGAAAAAAACACCCATATGCATTCCACCTGAGCACAGGGGCAGAATCTCACTACGCTATCAGAATCCTTCAAAACGTAGTTAAGATAATACATCCTAATGGACGGAATTAAAATGCCAAAGAGGTGAGTGATCACAAATTGATGAATCCCAGCAGGCCCCTGGGAGCAGCAGGTGACCACGGAGCCTTCTCCCCCACATCGCTAAGGAACGGAAGATGCCTGCTGTACATAAAACCAGAAAAGTTAAGGGAGCCGTAGGCTTCTAACTGGTGAGTAACTCCGAATGCTTAGGAAAGAAAAACACGTGGGTAAGCTCACACAATTACCAAAATTACAGTAAACCTGCTAGAGTTTTATCGTGAAGAAAATGGACCTCCGACCACAGGCAAGGGCAGGGACGAAGCTTCTGTTAGCACGGGAGAACCTACACACACACCCTACACTGAGTCAACACGCAGGTAATCCTACTGACGGATGAAATGAGGGCACCTGGGAGCTCCTGTCGCTGCTGAGACCGCGCCGGGTCGCTGTCTGGACATGAACGACTGGTTTTAACAGCGAAAGCAGATGGCACTCAGGCACCCGGGCTGAGGAGAACTGTCTAGTTCATCTCTGCGACTCGGAGAACGTACGCATGACCCGGACGAGGCCAAGGTCATCCCACCTCCTTAATATTACAGCACCGTCTGCAGCTTGGCCCCCCGGAGTGTGCCCGGGGACTCTGGGTCTGGGAACCACCCACACGGGGCCTGGCTTTGTTCAGTGGCCACGAGGGGGTCAAAGGTTTGAGAAAGAAGGGATAGGGCACAGCCTCCCAAAGCGAAACCAAACCAAACATGGGAAAAATGTACAGTTGTTTGGGGAAAAGAATGGCTCTAGGTTGAAACTTTAAATGATAACATATTCTCTTCAGTGAGTAAAAGGGACATGAACAGAAGAGATCAGGGTTTCTCAAGTCTTGTCCGTGTCTGTTTCTCCTTCCTGATTTCTCACAGGAACAGCAGGTGCGGAGACTGCCCTGCACACGCGGACGCACACAGTCGCCTCTTCTGTTACGGCAACTCCCAACGTTAGGAGCAGCCGTGCCAGACTTGCCTGTGAGGTCAGAGCGCCTGGCGTGGGGCTGGCTCCTCCTTGCAGAGCCAGTGACGAAGCAGGACTCAGAAGGCAAGCGCTGCCCCCTCCACTCCAGACCGACACCAGGGGGAGAAACACCACACAGAGGAGAGCCAGGCATTTCGTTTTTTCGGCTAAAAGGGTTCCATAGAGCATTTAGGGAGGAGGAGGATGTGTAAATGCCCCATGTGTTCGTGGCAGATAAAAACACAGAAACTCATGTCATAATCAGGAAGCTCTGATAGAAGCGTTTTCCTCCACGAACTCGCAGGAAGTGGGGGTTCTGGGGGCCACACCACAGCCGACTGAACGGAGCAGACATCTATACCCCAGGTCAGTGGTCGGCAAACTCATTAGTCAACAGAGCCAAATATCAACAGCACAACGATTGAAATTTCTTTTGAGAGCCAAATTGTTTAAACTTAAACTATATAGATAAGTACATTGTTATTCACTTAAGTAGGGTACTCCTAAGGCTTAGGAAGAGCCACACTCAAGGGGCCAAAGAGCCGCATGTGGCTCGCGAGCCACAGTTTGCCGACCACAGCCCCAGGTGGTCGAGGTCTGTGTGTGAGCAAGTGGCCAAGAATCACCGAAGGCTGAGAAAACAGAACCCTCTTCATCCCCTCCCGCCCCCTCCGCTGGTGCCCGCGATGGGTGGGCCCTGGAGGCCCAGGGTGGCACGCTCCTGCAGCTGGTGCTCCCACAGCTGGTGCTCCCACGCCTCAGAGCACTCACTCCCAGGCTCCTTGCTGAGAGCACGCAGCATGTTCTGCTTGTTTGTTTTAGATAATCCAGGGAGGCTCCCTCCTTCCTTCCTTTCGTTTCTCTCTTAAAGAAAAAGCAACAGAAAGCCCTGTTCTCACCCCAACACACATGATCATATCCACCCATGTGACCACAGGAGCTATAAGACCATGAAAAGGGAAGGTCCGATGCCCCAGGAGCTATAGGCCATGGAAAGGGAAGGTCTGATGCCCCAGGAGCTGTAAGACCATGCAGCAAGGTTCCTACCTGATGTGGCCGATCAACTCAATGAGCTTGTGACTGAAAAAATAAGCCGTCAGCTCGGACACGTGACTCAGCACGGAGCACACCCCGAAGAGGGTGGTGGTCCCGTTCAGGTCCTCCAGGTGCCAGTAGAGGAAGGTGAACACGAAGCCGTAGCCAAAGCCCATGAACCAGGCCACGAAGAGCACGGAGCCGTACTGCACGCTGCACAGCAGGCGGATCAGGTCCCAGAAGCTGGCGGCCTGCGCGTGGCTCGCGGCGGGCACCTCCTCGGCGGACTCGGTGGGGCTGCCTCTCTCCACCGGGGCAACCTCCACTTCCTTGCCTCGACCCTCGTCACTTTTGAAGTGGTTGTAGCGGAACCGGAACTGAGTGGCCACGATCAAGGCCATGGTCATGAGGACCCCGAAGACGATGAAGACGATCTGGTAGTTGCGGTACTCGGGGGGCCGGCACCCCTTCCCGTGGACGAGCACCTCGATGTGGGTGTAGTCGATCCCGATGCCCACGGACAGCATGGCCAGGCCCCAGCCCAGGGACCCCCACATGCGCTGCAGCCCATAGCGGTCCCTGTGTTTGCCCAGGTACTGGAGCGTCACCGTGTCCACAATGGTGACAGAGGAGGCACTGAAGAACTCTCCGATGATGACCACCACCAGGATCACCAGGAAGATGGCTTCTACTTCTTGCTGGTCGTAAAGCAGAGTGACCTGGTCAGAAGGTAAAGACCTGGTGGTAGTGACGACGGTAGTGGTGGGCTCTCTGGTGACAATCCCCGGGGGGACAGGGGCTACTGTGCTTGGGATCAAGGTCAGGTCCTTGCTGAGGTCTGTCACGTCCTCGGTCTGCGGCGGCAGCGTGCGCACGCTGGTCCTGTCGGTGGCTGTTGGGAAGGTGAGAGGCTCCGTGACGTTGGGCCCGGGGTCTCCCGCCGCCGTGGGCCCGCTGGCAAGGAGCAGGCCTCTCCTCTCCCGCGGCCTCGGGGGCGGCGTCGCCGAAGAAATGAAGGAGGAATTCGCTGGCAGGAGGGTTAGCAGGTGACTCGCGTTGGCGGGGCGGGCCGTTGGGGGCGTCTTTGGTACACACCTCAAGGTCGCGGGTTTGACAAAGCCGATGCCCAGGTTGAATAAAACCCAGCACAGAAGGGAAAAGAGGAGGACGATTTTGCCCTTCTTAAAGCGATCCGCAACCACGCCCCAAAAGGGGGCGCTGCAGAACTCAATGAAGTAGCGGATGCCCACCAGCAGCCCGCTCTGGCTGGGGGACATGCCCAGCTGCTTATAGTACACGGGCAGCAGGGGGTACAGAGAGCCGTACGCGGCGTAGAAGAAGAAGTAGAAGACCTTGGAGATGAGCAGGTCGTTGTTGATCTTCACGCAGTGTCTCTCGATCCAGTCCACCTCCTCCTCAGGGGCGGCCTCCGTGGCTGTGGACGAGGGGGTCTCGTGAGGCGGCAGCTCCTGCTCCCTGGAAATGCCATTGAAAGGATCGGCGAGCACGTACTTCCGCTTCTGCTCCTCCTCGTCATCCGTGAGGATGGCCACTTTATCATCGGCCGCCATGGCTCGTCACCACCATCGGAAGTGCCACTTCACAGTGTTGGCTGCTGGCCTGTTAGAGTAAAAGGCAAAGGATGGCTTAGTGACGACACCAATAACATGTGAGCACAAAGCTTCATCTTGCAGGACGCAGAGGCGTTTCAAACGACAGCTAAGAATAACTGTGGGAGTGAATCCTCACCACGGGTCACCTGCCGCCATACAACACTGGCTCTGAAAACCTTTCGAAACATCAAATATTCTTTCTGGCCACTGACTGACTCATTGCATCTCCCAGTGACAGGTTGACAGCTCAGGCTCATTCGAATCTTTTCACGGATTCCTACCAAAAACGCCCAAAGGATAGGGATTAGGTCTAAACCACATAGGGAACTGAAAATAAATAGTATTTCTAGTTTCTGGGTTTTTCTGCTCAAACATAGCCACTGAACTAGGAAGTCTAGAATATTTAGGAAATCAAGGTAGCCCAGCCCATTCTGTTTCCAGAGAAAAACAGAAAGCAGCTCCTGATTCCAACCAAATGAACGAGAAACACTGGCCTGACCAGGCCTTGGTGCTGCAGCCATGAGAGGACACAGTGGTGAGGAAGCAGCCTCCGGTGGCTGATGTTACATACGATTCTCCAGGTGTGCTTTCAGGGATTGCAGTTTAAGAAAACGAAAACCAAAGATGAATCATGAAAGCAGCGAAACAGGCATTACAACTTACCAACAGGGGAAAAACAACTCCAAACCCATGGTTTCTAATCAGAAACCACGGGTGCCAGACGGAAGGGGCCAATAGTGTTTAAGTGCTGAAAGAACTGCCCACCCAGAACCCTACATTCAGAAAAAAGTCCAACAACCAGAAAACTACAGAACCGTATTCCTTATGAATATAGGTTCAAAAATCCCTAGCAAAATACTAGAAAAGGAAGTTTAGAAATATATAAAAAAGAATTGTACACGATGACCAAGATGGGTCTATTCAAGGTGCAATATTGGAAAATCAATCGACGTAACCCACCATATCAAGATGCCAAGAAGAAGAAAATAGGGTCCCATCACCCGTCTGACAAAATGAAGAAGTCATTCATGAAAAGTCTCAGAAAAACAGGAACGGAGGCGAGCATCACCGTGGTGGAACCTGCAGAGAGCATGACACCTGATGGTTAAAGGCAGAGAGCGCTTTCTCTCTATGGGAACAAAGCAAGACTGTCTGTTCTCACCACCCTCAGGCAACGTGGAGCTGGAAGCCCTAGCCAGCGCTATGAGGAAAGAGAAGGCAACAGGAGTCACGCAGGTCCAAAGGGAAGACAGAAACTGTCTTTATTGGAAATGACTGTCCAGGGAGGAAATCCCAAGAAATCTCCAAAACCTTCTAGAACCAGGAAGTGAGTTCAACAAGTTCACAGGATACAAGACAAACACACAAAAAAATCCACTTGTGTGTCTGTAGACCAGCAATGGCCCCCAGACACCAACCTTTAAAATATAATCCCACTTACAACTGCTAAAAGATTGAGGTTAGCAAAACCTACAGGGCTGTATGTTGAAAACTGCAAAATGCTGGTGAAAGAAACACAGGTCTAAGTCAATGGAGAGACATGACATGTTCCATTCTCCTCAAATTTGTCTACAGGTTTAACACCATCCCTATCACAATCTCAGACTTTGTCAAAATTTAAACTTTTGCTCTGCAGACGACCCTGCTAAGAGGATGGACCTACAGGTGGGAAACTATTTGAAAGCCGCATATTCCACAAAGAATTATTACCCACAATATATAAAGCGCTCTCAAAACTCGACAATAAAAAAGCCAATTAGAAAACGGACCCAAGACACGAAGAGACATTTCACCAAGAGGACACACAGGATATACAGATGAAAATGTTCAGCATCATTAAGGAAATGTAAACTAAAAATATGACGTGTCGCCGCACACCGGTGCGGACGGCGAAAGTAAAAATCGTGACAATGCCAAATTCCGACACGGATGCCGAGGATCAAGCTCCCTGCTCATTGCTGGTGGGGCTATAAAGTGGGGCCGTTTCTTATAAATCTAAGCCCGTGGCTACCACAGGACCCAGCAATATTTATCCCAGAGAAAGGGTCACTTACTTCATATAAAAACACACACGTTTATAGCACCTGTATTCCTAACATAGCCCCAAAATCAGAGGTCCTCAAACTTTTTAAACAGGGGGCCAGTTCCCTGTCCCTCAGACATTCCACACATGCGCACTGCGGGCCCGGGACGAGTCGGCTGCTAAGCAGGACAGGCAGCGGCGGCAAAAACACCCGGCGGGCCGCATGTGGCCCGCGGGCCGTAGTTTGAGGACCCCTGCCCAAAATGGAAACAACCCAGGTGTCCTCCAATGGATGAATGGTTAAACAAACTGTGGTGCAGCCACACCATGGAATATTCCGCAGCAATAGAAAGGAACCAACGACTGCCCCATACAATGACCCGAATGAATCTCAAAAGAATCATGGACAAAGTCTCAAAGCATCACGTACGGCCTGGTCCCATCACATAGCATTTTGGGGTGACACAGTGACCGAGCTGGAGAGAAGACAGGTGATCGCAGGGAGTGGAGGGGCACCGTCATCGTTGCCCTCGGGGAGGTCCTGCTCAGCACAGCGCCTGGCAGACACTGAAAACGTGTGGGCACCATTTCTTTTTGGCCCAATGGAAGCCACTGAGGAGACTTACACAGCAAAGCGTAAGGGTCACGTTTGTGTTTCACGAAGATGATTCTGACTCAGTGTGGGGACGGATGGGCAGGTTTAGCGGCCGCATCCCCCTAAGGATTCCCGGACATTTGGCCGTTTTCTTGGTGTAGAGTCTTAACACGAACTGTCCACGCTAACGTCCTGTGATAAACCCCGACAGGGCTTTGCTCTTACACAATCCTCCCAACACCTAGCGAGCACGGACTGCGATGTGCCCCTGACTCCTCCCTCTCCTTCCGCAGGTGCCCTCCGCCCGAGCTGTTGTGGGGCTGAAGGGAATTTATTGCTCTTTTTATAGTTACTTCCTGTCTGCCCAGCTGGATCATACGCCCCTTCCGGGAGGATCTAGCACTTAGGATACTGCTCTCTGCTCGTATAAGCTCCCGAGAAATACTGACCAGCACTGATGGCGACATACATGTAAGGAGTCACTCGAGGTTAATGTGCCCAGAGGCGAACTGACTTTCAGAAGCACAGAGAGAAGTTCCCGTTGCTCTCTTGGCTCTGACAAACCAGTGCCTCTCTGAGCCTCTTTTTTTTTTGTAAAACGGGGATAAAACACAAACCCAAGGGGACTGACTCGCAGAGGGGTCCAGGTCTTCTCTAACGCAGGAGTTTGCTCACGGATGAACGTCTGCTGTTGGTGGTGGTCGTGGTCTTAGACTTTTTCATGAACACCCTGGGCCTCCTTCTGCCAGTGTTCTAGGGCGTTCTTCCCTGCCTGTGTCCTGGGGCTCCCTGGCACCCCCCGAGTTTACCCAGTGATGCGCGTGGATTCACGTCCACGTCCACATCCACATCCATGTCCACGTCCATGTCCACAGTGCAGGGCCATGGACTGGAAGGCGCACCTCCAGGCAGGGAATGACTATTCATCCAATACAGTCCCTGCGGGAACACTGTGTGGATTTTACTTGTAACATAATAAACGTGAATAAAAAGGGCTGAGATCCTCTCTAACGCACTTCCCTTCAACCCGCTCAGAGGGCAAAAGGAGCAAGTTACTTTCATCTCTTTGACCCTGAACATGGCTCCCGTAATAAAAGCCAAGTGGCCTTCACTTTCACTTTGTGAAATTAAATGTCAATAAAAAATTGTGCAATTTAGGCCCTGAGCCCTTGGCGACCCACATGGAAATAGGTTCCTAGGTATCCGTGTGGGGCTCCTGATGAAACACTGCCGACAGCTGACGCACACGCGGGAGGCAGCCCGGAACCTCACACGCTTCTCTCTCTCCGACTGATTTCCTGTCGCAGAGCGAGCTCCGGCCAGCGGCCGTGGCAGCTCACAGGGCAGCGCGGAAAGAGGAGTCACAGATTCCATCTCGTGGGGTTTCTCCACAAAATCCAGGAGATGCTCAGAACAGGGAGAGGATGAGCTGGCGGCGCTGCCGGCGCTCTGCGTTTATCTGTGCAGAAGGGACAGGATGGAGGGGCTTAGAGAGGCCGCGGGGGGCTGCCCAGGAGAACCAGGGCCCAGTCCCCGCTCCCAGCGACGGCCAGCAACAGACAGGGCGACGGGACTGCTCAGACACATCCCCTGTGAGTTTACCATTTACGTCAAAATACAGACCTCGGGTTAAAACACACCTTTCCTACAGATCTGTAGCGACGACCGATTGCTTTTACTTATGCCCCGCAAATACACTACAGCTTCCAACAATGTACAGCCTACGCACATGCCAGTATACATAGCCTAGCATTGTTTCCTATCATCTCAGGAGCTCTAATAAACCGAGAGTTACCGTGTGCTATCAATTTCTTTCAGAAAAATATTCATTACCGAGCTCACTGAAGACAAAAGATTTCCTATGAACGCCATCCCAATGAAATGAAAGCAGCAGTGCTGGCTGGTGGGGAAGGCTGACAGGTGCTCTCATTCCCTGAGAGCAGTACCACCTTTCTAGACGGCAGAGACTTAAGTGCAAGGATGTTTATTTCAGGAGTTTTCGTAACAGCCACAACTAAAAGGAAGCAATCAGTAATAGCGGCGCCTAAATCACGTTCTACCTGTATGAGAGAACCTTAACGCATGGGACAGAAAAACCGAGCTGAGCGAATAGAACTTGGGAGCGTAAACGAATTGACAGAATAGGGGGAAGTCCTCATGCTCTTTGTACCCCATTCAGTGAAAACAAGCAGGGCACAGACTTCTAGGCAACGTAAGCGTTTACGTGTGTAAATCTATGTCCTTCATACCAGATACACTTTTTCAAAAGACTTGAAGAAAATAACACCAAAATGTTACTAGGGGTTCTCTCTGAGAAGTAAGTGTAGGAGTTACTTCAATTTTTTCCTGCTACTTTCCTGGATAACTTTTCAGTGAACACTGATCACTG